AAGAGACTCCAAACGTACACTTAGCTGGATTCAGCTTCATCCCATACTTGTTTAGCGTTTCAAAGCAATCGCGTAAATGGTTAAGGTGATCGTTGGCATGAAGCGACTTGACGAGCATATCGTCGATATAAACTTCCATGGTGCTACCGAGTTTATCGGCGAACATACGGTTGACGAGTCGCTGGTAGGTAGCACCGGCTTTCTTCAACCCGAATGGCATGACCTTATAACAGTATGTCCCTCTGTCGGTGATGAACGCTGTCTTCTCGCGATCATCGGGGTGCATCATGATCTGGTTGTAGCCCGAGAACGCATCCATGAAGGTGAGCATCTCATTTCCTGCGGTTGATTCTACGAGACGGTCAATGCTGGGTAACGGGTAACTATCCTTCGGGCAAGCTTTGTTGAGATCGGTGAAGTCGACGCACACGCGCCATTTCCCGTTCTTTTTCTTAACCACCACGGGATTCGCTAGCCATTCCGGGTAACGAACTTCTGCGATTGAACCGGCTCCGAGTAGTCGTTCGACTTCTTCGTTCACTGCTTTTGCTCTTTCCGGGCCCAACTTACGTCTCTTCTGGCGGATAGGCTTGAAAGTGGGATCGACGTTGAGCTCGTGAGTGGTTATTGCCGGATCGATTCCTTTCATGTCTGTGACGGACCAAGCGAAGGTGGACACGTTTTTCTTCAGGAATTCGAGTAATCCTCGCTGCATATCGTTGGTTAGATGTGCACCGACGCGCACCGTCTTACTTGGATCAGAATCATCTACAGGCATCTCCAGAACCTCGTCTTTCCGAGGGAAGGTTCGAGCGATCGGATGAGAGACAGAGTTGACTAGGGATGATGAACGTTGCAGCTTAACCGTAGCGATCAGCAGGTCTCGCGCGGCTTGCTGATCGCCGCGGATGGTCTTGATTGTTCCGTCTACCCCAGGAAACTTGATGCATTGGTGGTAGGTTGATGGGACTGCTTGCATCGAATGTATCCATGGGGTTCCGAGAATGACGTGATAAGGAGCTTTAGTGTTGACCACGGCGAATTTAACCGTTCGAGTAACTCCGCAAGCGCGGACTGGGAGACGGATCGTACCTAGAATGGTTTCCGATGAGCCGTTGAAGCCGGTCAAGGTCCGTGAGGATGACTTGACGTCGTCGAAGTCTACCCCCATCTTCTCAAGCGTATCGCGAAAGATTAGGTCAACCGAGCTTCCTGTGTCGACTAGTACTTTGGTCACATCGTACTTACCGATCTCAAGGACGACTAGCAGAGGATCGTTATGGGGCAAGTGGACTCCGTTCAAATCTTCGGGGGTGAAGCTGATCAGCGCGTGACTCGGTGGCTTCGTAGGCCAGCGTCTCGAAGACGCGGCTTGACGCCGGTAGTCTTTGACGGAGCGGACAGAGTCGCCACAAGGAGGTGATCCACCCATGATGACATTCAGCCGTGGTTTCGCGACTACTCGTTTGGTATCTAAGANGCGCGTGACTCGGTGGCTTCGTAGGCCAGCGTCTCGAAGACGCGGCTTGACGCCGGTAGTCTTTGACGGAGCGGACAGAGTCGCCACAAGGAGGTGATCCACCCATGATGACATTCAGCCGTGGTTTCGCGACTACTCGTTTGGTATCTAAGAATGTACGGAGATCCGCTGGGAAGTTCTCTCCGCTCGACTTTGACGATTCCATGGTATGAGACGAGGTTGACCGCTCTAGCCGTTGATTCATTGATTTGGAACGGTTTAGTCGCGCGCGTAAATCGGTTAGGTTAGCGTTGAGTTTGTCGCGCAGATCTGTGACAGGCTTGTCGACAGACGAGGGAGGCTCCTTGGTTTCCAGGCATCGCGACTTGTTGGCTTGGAGCTTGAGGCGGAGGTCTCTGCTGTTGACGTCACTGCATGTCGTCTCCTTCCGCTTCAGGAAGCTTCGCAAGTCGCTTGATTCGGGCGAGTTATCGTCCTCGTCATCGGATGATAAAGGTTGTTGAGACCGAATCACTTCAATGCGTTGACGGCTTGCTGGTTGTCCCTCGTCTCCCAAGGAGGTTTCGTTGTCGGCAGCATCCGAAGGTTTGTCGTCTGGACGGCGTTGCTCTCCGCTCTTACCACCGGACTTTCGCTGCGCGCGCTTATCTTTGTTCTTAGACCAACTCTTACCGGATTTAGGCTTCTGCTTTGGAGGTTGAATCTTGAAGTCGCCCTTTTCGACCGATGAGAGGAATTCAGCGTACATCGTTCTACATTCGGTTGTGTCGTGTCCTTTGACATCATGGTATTTGCAGTGTTTGGTGAGGTCGACTCCTTTAGAAGATCCCGCTCCTGAGGTAGCCGGCGAAACTGGTTGAGTCGGTCCGGCGGGACTAGCTAAACCTTTCAGAGCCGCCGTCTCGCGGTTGTACACGTTCCATGGCTCGCCGCGTACGGAGAAACTCGCGACTGGGGTGTTATTCTCGTCGACGACAAAGAGAAGGCCGCTCTTTTGTTGTTTCTTGTCGCCGGAAGCGTGTTGACGCGGCTCCGGCTTTGCGTCAGAGGTCTTGGGTGTTGCCGGCTTCGCTGCGCTATGCTTGCCTATGATAGCTTTCGTGTCTTCCTCCATTCGGATGAAGTTGTGTGAGCGGGCTATGGCATCCTGGAGCGTTGTGGAGGTGCTTCGATATAGGTCCTCTCGGAACTTGGAATCGAGATGGAGGGTGTTCATGAGAGCGTCGACGGCTATATGGTCAGGGATGTCGATCTTTGAGACG